CAGCAGCCGCAATAAACCAGTATACTCTAGATCTATTGAGCCTAGCAGAGACTAGTTAAACACCCTGAGACTAGAAAGTATAAGAGTAAGATTAGGATCGGTATTAGACTAAGAAGTTGCACGAATCTATCCGGCCGAAAATAAGATAGCGTGACGAGCAGACGGTGTACCCTATCCGAAATTACTCTATGAGTTAACCACCTCGGTTATAACTCAAAAACTTTCCAAATTAGAAAAGAATACTTTCCTCTCATTCATATCTTGTTCTTCTTCTGCATGGAATCCCCATCGTTCTCCTCTAACTCCCCCTAAATTTCCATAAATTTGCTGCTGATCGCCGACTTCTAGATCTTCTCCCACCCGAAAGGCGAAATCAGATCCCTTACGATTACCGATGTTTGACATCCAGCGATAACAATTATTGACGTCCCCGGGATGACCAAAAATACTATTCATACAATTTCCATATATGGAAAAATGCTAGTCATACACTTTCCATACATTTCCATACGTACAGAAGATTGCATGAAAGGTCTATGATTAGTATTTTTTTCATAAATGGAAATTGTATGAGTAGCATTTTTCCATAAACCAAAAATATTGATTTTTTACATTTTAATTTCTCAAAACTTTTTAGCTGTGTTCGTAACCGAACACAAATTACATAAACCTTGATTACTCAAACGTATTAACGAACGGTTTGGCCGTCTCGCAATAAAAATGCATTGGAAACAGCCTGATATGTGTTACTTCTGTCTCAGACAAATAATATAACGAAAGTAATGAACTTTTAAATTTTGGCAATAAATTTCAAATATGATTATTTCTAATTTACCAGACATTGATCAAGGCATACGAAAACATGTCATACAACAGAAAGAGGAGTTTTCAGCGTTTTTGAAAAAAGTTATGAAGAGAAAAGGAAAAAAAATTCAATATTATTATATCCAGGACTACGTTATACAAACAAAAAATTAAATTTTGCATGCAAATTTGCGGTTGGAAAAAAAACACAAAAAATTTTTGGGGGCAATTTTTGGGGGCAAAATGTTTGTCATCGCCATCAAAAAAATGCTAGTCATACAATTTCCATATATGGAAATTGTATAACTAGTGTTTTTTTTCAGAAAACAAAAATAAAAAAAGTCATAGTTTTCAGTCGTAGCAGCCCAAAAACCGCTTAAATGTTTTGCCAGCAGTTGAATTGATTGTTCAAAGCTTTTTTTTCACAAAAAAAATTTTTTTTTTAAAATTCTAATCATACAATTTCCATATATGGAAATTGAATGGTTAACATTTTTTTCATACCATTTTTTTCCTTTTTTTAATGAAAAGATACCAATTTCGATACCAAAACAACTATAAAATACCCTTGAAATTCAATTAAACTCATTTTGCAAAATTGTATGAAATTTGTATGACTAGCATTTTTCAATAGACTAAGTGTATGAAATTGTATGATTAGCATTTTGGGTCTATGGAGGTCAACCCGGGTCCACAGTACATTCTTATACGGTCGATTTAATGTGGATTGACTTCTTCCAGCTTGATGTTCCGACTTTCGATACGAAAGTAACGGAATATTTGTGCTCGGGGTGGGTTTTTTTTTCATCAGACAAATTTCGACTTTTTAAGTAGCATTTTGTTTGACGGAACTTTTTTATATCATTCGAAAGCCATTGATGCCCTGAGCTCAAACTTGAAAAGATATTTTACCTGTGATTATTTTTCGTAAAATTATGAGGGTTTAAAGATTGCCATTTTGGCCATTTTGACCAACTTGACAATTAACGCGCGATACAGTTCGCGCTATTAACGCGTAAGCGGAGATTTAATCCGTCTTATAAATCCTTCCAAATTGGTTGAACGAAGCTTATTTGCCATAATTGATTTGTTACAAGGAACGAAAACTCTCTTTTTGTACTTAATATGGCGTGTGGGGGGGGGGATTATTTTCATAAAAAATTTCAAATTTCAGAAAAAAAAATTCATTTTATTTTATTCCACTCAATTTTTTTATGGTGCTCCATAAACCTTAAAAGGCATTCGGAACATTCAGGGCTTCGCGCTGATACGAGCAGTCTTTTTTTGATTCAAACTCATTTTTCCTGATAGATTCAAGCAACTAGCATTTTATCAGAACTCATTGTAAAAACATCGAAGCTCTTAGAAATTATATGACTTGGTCATTTTTTTCCAACACCTAGATTTTATTACGTGGCTAAACTGTCTTTTTTGTGATTTTTTTTGCAGATTCTGCAAGTAGCTGAAAATAGATTTGTCGCGAATACGCGAATATGGCTAAAAATTTTTTGTCTTCTTTGCTGTTTTAAAACCCACGAAGAAGTAGTTTAAACATTGTAACACTCAAAATCATTCCAAGAATAAGCGAAATTGAGGAATCCGCCGTATTTTGTGATTTATAAGCAGATTTCGCAAAAAGTTGAACTTTTTTTGCAGAATCCGCTACCTTACTTTTTTAAATCTTTTTTGCTGTTTTTATTTCCACGAAAAAATGGCTAACTCAATGACTCGGTCGAAATTGCTCCAAAAAATAATCAGCAACAACAATTGCGGAACCCAGAACAGTTTGTGGAGTCCAAAAGCAAAAATCTATTTATTAAATATAAGTTTTTGCAGAATTCGCTTTTTTGTGGAATCCGCTTACACTGTGCGGATTCGACTCATATCATAGTTAGAAATTTGTGAACGTTAGAAATTTGTGAATCCGCTTTTATTTGGTTAGTTTGTTTAAATTTTACAGAATCCACTTCCATTTGTGAAAAGTGGAGCAACTGGCTATCTGAGATATAACTAAAGTGCCGAAAAAATTTATGTTAGAGGTTTCAATTCGCGGAAATTTTGGTTGTTTGAAGACATATCACTGGATTCTACTGAACTACTAACGCCAAGTTGCTGAAGTTTTTATCTACTCTCGTTTAAAATCAACAAAATTAGTCGCTTTAAAAACTTCTATTCAAAAACGTCGCATAGAATTGGAAAAGTGACCGTAATGGATTATACAAAACTTTTTGAATAAAAAAACTTCAAAAATAGTATCATTTCAAATTTCCTAAAAGAAATGCATGAAAAGAAATGTCTTTAAAATGCTTTTGGCAGTTTTTTTTGCTTTGTAACAAGATGATACTGATAATTCATTCACCACTAAATTATTTATGCAAACAGTCTATAAATACCTAAATTCGTCTTGTATGGAAATAATAAACTGAAACTCCGAAGAAATAATTGAAACCGTTTCAGATTTAACAAACATTGACTGATTGATTTATGAAAGTTTTGATGGAAAATTGTTTTCATTATAACTTTTTGTCTTGGAAAATAATTTGGTTTGTATAATACATTTTTTGTTCGTTGTCTCATTTGACCTTCAATTCAAAAACTGAGCTAATTGCAAGATCATTTACAGAACTTTTCTTCAAACGAAAACAAACATTTTAGCTTTGCTCGACTTTTAGTCTCGGTTTGGCTGAACTTGTGTGATTTTTTCCACGTTCTTGAATTTTCATACAACCTAATGCTCGAAACAGCTTGAGATCGTAGTTTTTTTTGCGACATTTTAAAGCAGAAATTTACCATTCAAATTTTTAGCAAGAAAATGCTATTTAGTTGCTTATCAGGCATGGAAATATGATTGTCATAATAAAAGTTTGTTTGAAACGTTCAAAGAGCTGGCCGAGCTGGGGAATTTTTTGGTTCTACTCCCCCTATTTAAAATGAAAACGAAAATTTTAATTGCAAACTTGGATCGATGTTACAAAAAAAACTTAGAAAATGGAGAGCTGATATCAAAAGCGTTAAACTAAGTTAAAAATTGTTAAACTGCGAAATCAAATTAACTTAAAACCCTTTTGATCTCATTTTTGTGAAATTTAACTAGTGAAAGTAGCAAATAGTGGCGACAAAACGCATTGAGGCTAAATTAGATGAAATTGCTTCGTTTTGAACTGTGATATATTAATATCTGCTTTTTCCCTTGGAATAGATCTAAGTGTTACAAAATTCACTTTTTTGTAATTTATGGGGAAAGGTTTTAGCCGAAAAGACCCAAGTCCGTTATCTCACATCATTAGTCATATTTCACCTAAGAGGTAAATTTTTATCACGCAAATTTTTGTGGCACCGCAAAAAAAAACGCTAATAATTTGATTGCAAAACTGACCAATTGCAATAATTATAAACATAAACAACGATTCATACTTTAAAAATTCTTTTCATCATATTTTGCGATATTAAGAATTGTAATGTCGCTTTGAGTTTTTAGGTTTATCTTCGAGCAACTTGCTTTGAAATTTTTATTACCAGTTCTTTGATAAAGTCGATATCCAACAGATTTCTGTCATTAAAAAGTTTTTCCAATCTTTGGATATCTTTAAACTGTCAGCTTAGTGAAATCACTCTTTTTGGCAGGCAGTTTTTCAATTCTTATTATTTCCTTTTTGGTTCAAGATAATCATCACTTGCAGAGAAAAAAGATTTGACAAGAGCTTAAATTTACAAAAACTCATACTTTTATGTCCGCAAAATTTTAAGGTGATTTCCTTTTTACAGACCAATTGGGCTTAGAGTTGTCAAATTTGTCTGAAACTGGTCTAATACGAATTAAAATCATCTTCCGCTTCGGTCAATTTTACATTTATTTCCGATCCACTGTTTCATATCATTTTGGGCAAATTGTCAAAAACGCAATTAGAATTTTCTTTTTTGAAGCATAAACTGTCTCTATTTCCTTTCAAGCGGAAATTTTAGCACAAAATTGGTTTTAAAAGCCAAAATTTACCCAGCAGCAAAAATAAAAAAATTGAGAAAAAATGGATATTGATATCAGATTAGAAAGGTGTAAAATTAACAAATTTGGGCCAGGATAAAACCCTTCAAATTAGATCAAAATGGATTAACCTAGTAGTTGGAAATTGTATTTTATGAGGGTAGGGGATTCGATTTCGATTAATACGCCAATCCCTACCTCCCAACAGAAATTGGTCTTTTTTGAATCCAAATTGCCATTATAGATTTGAGGAAAAATCATGGGCTATTAAGAGGATTAAACTACGTTGAGGCGGTAGTTCAAAAGACTACCCATTTAACGTGATCACCGTCTAAAATAACAAGTGGGTAAAATTTATACCAATTACAGTCGAGCTTCTTCAAAATTGTCCGTTTTATTTTCGCGTAGTCAGTTAGCTAAAAAGAAAACCCAAATCAACAACCGTGTTTTCAGTCTCCGAAACACAAAATTATTCTGACATCAATACATATCTCAGAGGAATAAACAAACGAACAAAAACAAACAGAATGGTTTCGCAAAAGACAGCTATGATTCTGGCCGTGGTCGTTTTTGGTGAGTGAAATTTTTGTTCAACATTTTTTAGCTCATTGCTTAAGATATTTCATGACTAAAATCATTATGAAATCATATTTACACAGCTTACCAAAATTTTCTGCAAACCAAACTGAAAGAAAATTGTGCAAAGCTTATGAGTTAGACAGCAAGCTAATACATGCTTGATTAGGTAAATTTATGAAAAAAAAACGTATCTTCAAATGATGTACCATTTCTTAATTTTCAAATTATTTTGGAAAAATTTTCACTTTTTTTAAAAGTGATCAAGCAGAAAAAGATTCAAATTTTTTTTTGAATTCAGTTTTAACATCATATTTGAAGTTCGTTACTATTCATGTGATTACTGCTCTGACTTGTAAAGTAACTTCAAGGAATAATTGTGCTAGGTATGTTTTTTTTCATGCAGCCAACTTTGTGAATTTTTAACCAGCCAACCTTGAACGGTACTTTTACAATGTTTCATAGCTAAATTTGTCCTGAGCTCTGTTTAAAAAAATGACATGTTAAAATTTTGGAAGGTTATTATGTTTTGAAAATTGTCAATTAATCTAGGTTGGGAAATTAACACGCATTTAACTTCGTCCTTTTAAAGCGTAAGCGGAGGTTCAACCCTTCGGAAGACCTTTCAATTTATTTTGATGCTAACAATTTGAAACTTATAAAAAGTTGCTAGATTTGATTTGCATACATTGTAGTTGACATAGCGGGAAGTTGTCTGAACAAAAAAATTTTGTTTCATTTTATATGAAACATATATTTTTTCAATAATCTGAAAAGATGAACTGGTCCTTAGAGCTTAAGGGTAAGTAGAAAAGATCGGGGCTATGTCTGATAAAAACAGACAATTTCACAAAGCTTCAAGAATTTCAATCATACAATTTTTCTATCAAAAAAATCTTGATTTCTAAAAAAAAAACATTTGGTTTCCAATTACGAATTTTAACATACAACAAAAAAAGTATAAAGTTTTCAAACGTTTTCTAATTGTAATGGCTTAATGCAAAATTAGCAATAAAATGAAAACATAACAGTAACAGTTTTCAAAAAACGTATATTATCAGTTCAATCAACTTAATTTCGTTTTGTGCAACAATTGCCAGCCAGTTGCTGTTTTATATATCTATACTTGTGCTTAAAAATCTTTTCATTGTAATATTTTATTTCATGTTTTCGCTTTTTTTCAACTGGCATAGTTTTTTCATATGGAACAGTTTAGTACAGAGGGCTTTTTAGCATAGTTTTCTCTATGTGATGGGATTTGTTAGTGTGGTCTTATTTTCATGCATCCAAACATAACTAAAACAAAACTTAGAAGCAGTAATTGACAACAGTAAAATCTAAAATCTGTTTCCCTTAAGTTTCATTACTAACAAAATGAGAACTGACTTCCATCTGTCATACACTTACTATCTTCAATCGAACTTTTGTGAGAAAATTGATAGAAAGTAAAGACTAAACAATTTATCAGTCTGGATAATTAAAAAATTGTAATGTTTCGAAATATTTCTTTAATGATTTTTTTAAAAAAGCTTTTGATGAAACCAGCTCAAACATTTTATTAGTAACTGCGACACTACTTGAAAAAGTCAAATTAAAAAAAAAACAGAAGTTTTTATAGGCCAGTAAATATTTAATTGCGATTTAGTCGCAGATTACTTGAAACAAGTAAAAAATATATAGAAAGCCTGCTAGGAAAAATGCTGGGTTTAAACTATCTGCGACTAAATCGCAATGAAATATATTCTAAACTATAAAAACTTTTATTTTTTGAACATGAGTTTTGCTCCTAAATATTTGAATAAAAACTTAGTTCACTTAAGTTTCTGCAATTGCGAACGAAATTCCTATGCTAGAATAAAGTTTTGCAACAAAGCCTGCTTCAGATAATTCAAACACCACAAAAGGCATATCCAATTTTTTAAATTGCTCAATCTTTACTAGACTTGCATATCAAAAGGAAACCCTCGTATATTCTTTGAATATGAAAGATTTTTTTTTCATTAGTTTTGTCCGAGAAAATTTAAGGTTCAAAATTGTAATTTATTTCAAAATTACAAGGCCACACATTTCATTGGATATGTGCAAATTTTAGTGTGTGTGGGTCAGTGAAATCATGAGACAAGTCTTGAAACATGTTAAAAACTAATAGACAAAAACCCCGAAATCACAAGATCAAAGCAAGATTAAACGGAGCGGCCTATCTGCGGATTTCGTTCACAATTCACAAACAACACTGTTTAACCTCATAATGTAGGCCAAAAGCAAAGCTAAAAACTTCATGTTCATTTTTTAGATTATTGAATTCTCCCAATTTCAACCTTACACAAATTTGGCATGAGAACATAAGAAGGGTTGCAACTTAAGACAAGAGGTTTAAATTGATTGTTTTTTTTCATTTCAATTACAATTTTAGCGCCTCATTTGAATATTGAGTTAACAGCGTGCCTTAATTATTCCGAACTGAATGAGTATTCAAACTTTAAACTTCTCTATAATTCGTGAAAATTTTAGGTGAAACCCTCTTTTGAAGAGTCAAAAATTACCTTAAAAATACGTAAGAAGCAAAAATAAATCTAGAGTTTTGGAAAGTCGTTACTTACTTAGCAGATAATCTATCTTATGTCCAACTAATATTTTTTTTGTTTTGGGTGTCAAAACAAGAACACTGAAAACAAGAAACCTGATTTAAATATATATGCTATTTTTGCTGTTTTGACTCCATACATCAAAAATGCAACTCATACAATTCCAGAGTATTTGTCTAGCAAAATTGCTATTCATACAGTTCTCACACTGCGTGAAAACTGTGACTAAATTTTAATGATGAACAAACTTCTAGTTACTTATATTTATTACTTATATTTAACTCTAACTTTGTTCAGTTGCTCATGAATAATGATATTTAAAAAAAAATTCAAATTTTCTTTTTTTTGCAGTCTGTGAAAATATCCAAACATCACGCTTGATCTATGTCGGCAAACACAGCACAAGTTTTCTGCTCTCGAATTAGTTTATACTTCCTGATGCAATCTCATAACAGTTTCGCGATTAGATTACAAAATTTCAAATGGGTATTTAATGTCGAGGTTGATTGTTTTTGGAAACAAATACTAAGTCGAATAGTCCTGAAAAACGAAATAAAAATTATGAAACTTTGTGGTTCATGCAGAGTAGGAGCTATAATTTATTTGAGGGGGGGGGGGGACTTTCAAAAAAAATCAAAATTTTTTGTCGACTTTCTTATGTCAAGCAAATTGATTTCTCGACCACTCCCAGCACACTATGATTTTCCTATTTTGACAAAATTTTCTGCGCCGTTTCTGCGCCGTAACAAAAAAAGGAGGGACCCTTTGGTTGGTGAGGGGGTCGAAACGTCCTGCATGGGAAGTTTTATTCTGAATCAAAATATCAACTTGTACAAACAACATGATAGTTTCACTAGTTGCTTTCTGAATCAAAATATCAACTTGTACAAACAACATGATAGTTTCACTAGTTGTTTCACTAGTTATCGTACGAAACCTCTTCTTTAATTTTGCGCTCTGGCTTATTTCGTTTTTTTTTTCAGTATCACTCTTAGCTTTGAAAAGAAAATCAGTTTTTTATTTGTCACAAACAATTTCAGGGAAAAGGATTTGATCTAGTCGCTACTGAAATTCCATCTTCAAAAAAATGTTTAAATCCCCGATAAGAGCAGAGGGGCTGAAAATGACATTCATTCGTTCTACAAAGCAATCAGGATAACCAAAATGAGTTATTGTCTGCGCTCAAAACTACAATAAAAATATTGATTACTATTTCAACTTCCTTTTACCGTAAGCGCAAAGCTCAGCAAAAGGCAACAAAGAGAGTCCCGTAACTATAATCACATGGCATTTCCAATATCACAAGATCGCTTTGCTCAAATTTTAACCTATTTTAACTCAAGTTGACTAAAAAAAACATCGCAAGAAAATTGTGCATAACTCAGCCGTGAAAAAAAAAAATTAAGTTTCTTGTCAAATTTGATGAAATTTTTGATGCCGACGAACTGCAAAAGATTTTTTTTATTCCCACTAAACTTTAAAAACAAGAGCAATGAAACTGTTTATATTTGAAATACAAAAATAACAGTTTTTTGTCAAAATGATTGAAGTAATTTTTAATGTCTATGATCTTAAGCTGAAAAAAAACTTGCCATTTAAAATTTTTTTTGAGCGTCATTTGTTAATTGGAAAAAAAAACAATTGAGCGAAGATTCAAAAAAAATCAAATTTGATATTTAACATCCATGTACTTCCTTTGATTTGTTTGTCAAGTTAGTCAACTTTTGAAATTGTTTGTTTCAGGTGTGCTTCTTTGTTTCTCAAATGCAGAGGTTAAAAAATGGATGGTAAGTGAATATCGAGAAGACTTATTTAATAATTTTTAATACCAAGGTTGAAACACTGAAGACTCAATGCTTTCTTCGTGGTCGATTAGTGTCCGTGATGAAAACTAAAAAACCCAGAGTAACTTGACTAGATTCGAATAAAACACTAGATAGGGGGAGGGGCTTGAAAAAACTTCTCCAGGAAGTAAATCAAAACGGGTTCTTAAGCGCCTAAAATAAAAAGTCGTCTCCTTACTGATGCGAGTTTCGAAAGACACGGTAATTGCAACCTAATTTGGTCAAAAAGCCACAAATTTCAAAATTAATTTTGCAACACTTTCAACATTTTCAACAATTTTCTCCATAGCAATCGTACCTTTCATGCAGTGCTCGCTTCCATGCACTTCCATGCGCTGACGTGCACTGAAGTTTCATGGATATTTTAATCGATTATATTGGAATTTCATTGTTAGTCTCTATAAAATAACAAAAATAATCTATTATAATCGATTAAAAATAGATTAAACTGATACCATTTTTCACGCAATAAAATCCCAATATAATCGATCACAAAAATTTTATCAATAGAAAAACAATCAACTTTTATCGACTATAATGGATTATAATCTATTTATTAAAATGGTTCGGTGTGCTGTTTTAATTTTTTCATTATAAGGTTAAACTTTCATTAGTTACTTTGTTCTCTCGTAACTTTTAATTTTTTCCTAATTTCAATCGCGTTTATGAAAACATATAAAAACTCACGTGTTTTTGTTATTATTTTAATTGAGTTTTAGTCGCCAAACCCGCGATTAAACCCACACCACCCCCCTCTCAAGTGTTTACCACACCCCCACTAAACCCTAAAGATCCCCACCTGTTTAGATAAATGTGTAGTGGGGCTGGAGTGATGTTGGGTGGGGGGGGGGGGGTGTTGTGGGGTAGATACCACACCACCCACCACGTTTACCTGTACTACATAATTGCCTGTCCCGGTGGGGTGTGGTAAACGTGTGGGGAGGGGAGAGGGGAATGGTTTGGATGGAAATGCGAGGAAGGACGGAGAGATGAGGGGAACAAGGAAGGGACGTGGGGGGACGTAGGGGAGGCCTAGGGAGGGGGGATTACTACATATTGGTGTTCGAGTTTTGCAGAAAATTGCAAAAAGTAGAGTCCTTAATTACCAAATTTACTCAATGCTCATGCAATTCATGTACAAAAAAATCTTATTAAAAAAATGGATTATAATCTATTATAATGGATTTTAATGGAATTTTATTTTTTTTAAATAATCGATTAAAATGGATTAAAATTCATTACGTTGTCTAAATCTGTCATGATAATCGATTAAGTAGACAGCATTTTACTAAACAAAAATCCATATAGCATAGTTGTAAGGCGCAAAATTCAAAATCGTCAGATCGTGAATTCGACCCCATGCCATGGCAATGAAAGTTTGTGTGAAGATTAGCTTTTAGCTCTTACTTGATCTCTAGCTTCAGGTTAACCACAACCTGACCACTTTCGGCAGCGATAGCGGTAATTCGTAAAAGTTCTAGACGCATAGAAACGGCCTTGAGTCGCAAATAAAGAGCTTCGCTCATCAAGATAACACAGTCTGGAATGCGGGGAGATAATACAAATGGACTATCCTCGACAGGACTGTTAAGGCCTACTGATAGCTCCTCTGCGATTCGCAGGAACCACCGTTTTGTTTTCTGAGCAATCACAATTACTATCACAACTATAATCTATACAAAAATACGAACCAAATTTAACTAAAACTGTAAGATTTGAAAACTAAAAAAGCTCACGATAACATTCAAAAATAATTTTGTTTCTGTTATCAATCGACTTATTTCCTATTATCAGTTTATGCAGTTTGGCTAGTGTGTTGCAAATTTTGGTGAAACAGTTGTGATTTTTTCATTTCAATCTTAAGTGATTTTTGAGCCAGAGAATTTTGCCACTAGCGCTACTGGTACAAAGAAAACTAAGCCAATATCATACACCCTTAACGTGACTGAAATGATTGCAGTTAATTATAAATTTCAGTTCAAAATTAGGTTTTGTTTTGCTGATCAGAACCATTTTTGCCAAAACTTATTTTAAAGTCAAAATTTGTCCGAAGAGAAAACAAGCAGACCACGCACAAAAATTCCGTAGTTTTCGACAACAATGAAGCACATTTCTTATAGTAAATTGTCGTTGGCAACTTATGAATGCAATTTTTGTTATGCTTCTGCACTTGAAAAAGATGCATCCACAACAAAATGCAAATAAAAATTGCTCCTCCCTGAAAGTTTTGACTCAACAGGTCTTTTAATAATTATTCATGATTCAACGATATCTAATCGTTGTGAAGTAGGATAAGTGTAAATTGGATTTTTAAGAGGTGAAAAACTATGTAGAACTTTCTCGACAAAAACTTAAAAAAAAATCGGAATTTTCCAGAAACGTTATAAAGACCGAATTCTGCCAGATTTCATTCGCTCCAGGCAAGTGTAGAAACCAAGTCTTTTTGGAAATTTAAACTCTTTTTCGGAAGGTTGGAATTCATTGTTTTTTTTTTTGTTTTCTGATACAGGAAAATTTTCAGCGCACATTCCAAAGATTAAGCTCTGATTCTATCCCAATGAGAGCTGAAGGTCTGAGAAAACGTTGATATCTCTGATCAGCGTTTTTTTTTGAATATTTAGCTCTGATTCAAACGATTTTTCAAATTTAATCATAAGTAGTTTTACCCTGATCACAGCCTGAGACGACCAAGGCAAATACTGATTTTCCTTTGAAGCACCGTGAGTTATTACTAATTTCAACCCTGGTTTCGATTTTTATCAGTTTGGGTACTTATTTACTTCGCCCTTTTTGCAAATAAACACAGCTGCTGAAATAAAAACGTGGTTCAAACTAAACTACGCTTGGTTTAGACTGCGATTTCCAAACAGATAAAAGCCTTTTTTAATGGGGCTATTTGCAATTTCGGACAAAAAAAAGAAAAATTGAAATACTTTTTGTTTACAGGAATACAAGAAGTCTGCCCCCACCAAGGAAATGTACGAGAACATTCTAGAACAAGCACTCGATGAGATCCTTGAGGACGTTTGCAAGACGTGCCCACGCGTATGCGGACAGATGACCAAAAAGTGGATGGAATACCGAAAATAAACAACAACAACAACAACATTGAAAACATCAACAGATTCAAAAAAAGAACTCGGCAAACCCCAGGATTTGACTTGGAAACAAACTCGAAGGCAAAATATGATTTCAGTTTTGTTTTCATTCTGAAATTCAGATTGAAATTTATGTCTAAATTCCTTTTTTATTTATTTATGGCAAAAATTGTTTAGAACGTGAATTGATCTGATGAATTGCAGGAACTTTGATTAGTGGAAAAATGCAAATATGCCCCGAAACAAATTGAAAGTATTCTATTGAACCGTATTGATGTCTCTACGTGAACGCTTATTAATTGCATGTGCAAAGCTCCGGTGCAAAAAAAAATGTTTTTTTTCCTCTGGTTTTAGGCTTTCAGATTCATTAAGATTCGTTTTCCTGATTTTTGTCAGTTCTGACAGTTTAGACCTAACGAGCGGGTCATAAAAACTAAAAAAACTGGACGTTAATAAAAGACAATAACCAGAAAACGGTTTCCAAGTATATGCATGCAATTAGATACACTTGGGAGAACGTCAAAACCTATGTCTATTGACGCCTCAAGGGCAAATATTTTTAAAAATAAAATCAATTTTGCACGCTTTTTTCAGCTAACCAAAAAATATATATTTTAATTTTTATTTCATCCTTGAATATCTTTTTTGACACCCCAATTTCTGAACATTAAACACCATTTTTACATCTTCTTGACAGCTTAGCAGCAATGAAAACAAGCTTTTTGACAGCTTGGCACAAGTGAAATTTTTCGTGAATTTTTACTTGGTGCCGGAGCTATTTTAAGACTTTCAAAATCTTACCGATATTAAATCTACGACCAAAGTCTTGCCAGGTATAATTGCAAAAAAAATTTTAAACCGAAACTAGTCTGAAACTAAATTAAGATAGACTGAAAGTTAAGCGCGAAATAATTCATAAGTTATAAAATTCTAAAATTCTAGAAATAATTACTTTTAAAGAAAAAAACCTCGTGGCAAAGCAATTCAACCATTTTTATTAGGCTATCTTGCAAAAAACTGGAAAAACTTCACCATGAGCTCGACAACAGTTTTGGGGTTTTGTATTAATAACCAATTCAACTTCAAATTAGCTTCAAACTGTTCGGGTAAAATGATTTCTGGAAATTTCTGATCTACTTGGCAATCTCCCCCCTTTCAAGAAAGGGGGATGGGTTTTTAGTAGATAACTTGTAGCGAATTTTCGACCAGTCAGAATGCAGCAAAATTCGAATTTACATGCTTTTTATTTACAGGGGTGGATATAGATTCTCTAGTAGATACAATGGGGGGGGGATTGTTAATAGATCCGAATTTTTTGATTTAGTTTGCTGCAAATCAGTGCTTCTTTCAACAAGTTGTGGATTCACGCTCTATTTTCTCCAATTTTAGTTTTTGCTACAAGTTTTTTTTGTAACAATTACCCGTTTTTTCTGTGGTCATATCTTGTCAATTATGCCATTATCACCTAGTTAAGATATTATTATATGCTGTCATATTTTTATGTTTTATTGTTATATCATTCTTGACTTCTAATTCCATCATATTCACTACTTGAACTTTCACTGCATAATTTAGTACAAATTACATCATATTTGTTAGCATTTTTAGTGACCCTGAGCTCAAAATTTAAAAAAACCATAATAATTTCTCTCTTAACCACTCAAAATGTAATTAGTGAACGATCAAGTAGCGAATGATTTACAATTAGTTGTCATACCGTTAATTATATCGTCAAGTGAGAAAGGCAGCAATTCCCACTTGAACTTTTGTCCTTTACAATTTTTGCAGTCCTAAACACTTATGATGTTGAGACGGTTTGAGAAATCAGCCGACAATCAAATTAGACGGAGACATTAAAAAAAATAGACGTTTTTACCAAACTGCAAAACATTTGAGGATATCAAAACTGTTCGCAGACAAATCGTGTGAGAAAAACAAAATTGTTTGAAGACAACAGTTAAATTTCGGTTGCAAAAATGCAAAGTTTCAAAACAGTTCCATCAAAATATTGAGATGGGCAAAATCTTGGTGCGTTTTCATAGGTCCAAAAATAAAAATCAGCCGCATAGGTCCCAAAATAAAAAACATTTGCATAAGTCCCACATTTTTTCATTTGGTCAAAAGACTAAAAAAGCCGATCCTCGGTTCGAGGTAGCCGGTGAGCGCCTTACGCGCGCGTCGCCGCTTCGCGGCGATAACCGGCTCTAAATTTTGTATTGAGTCCTGCCCTCTGTTGACAAGCTCGCAACACGTTGGCCCGGCTGTGGCGGTAACTATTCTGCAGCTTGAACTTAGAAAGCCGGGCCATGTCTGAATTTAAGCTGCTTGATTAGTAAACAATCAACCCATAATTTCGTTGGCTCAAACTGAAACCAATCAGAATTCAAGAAGATAATTTTTGGAACCTATGGACTGATTCTTCATTTTGGTTGCAATGAATTCTGGGACCTATGGGAAATTACCGAAATCTCATCACCGATAAAGTTTACAGATTGAAAAAAATGGCAAAATCAAATTTGGTTGTCATTATCGCTGCGTTAACTTCTATTGCTCCGGAAGATAAATGACAAATTTAGATATCACGGAAACTATTTGAAATTCAGAAAATCATAGTCACAAACCCGGCCTTATTTATAAAACCGTTCGCCCACAGTCACAAAACTGGGCCGCTCATAAAATGAAACCGAATTTCGCCAAAAACGGCGAGACCTTTACAGACCGTAAAAAAAGATGGTAGATGGAGTAAAGCAAGCGACACTCAGGATTTTGTATCACATCACGACGTTGGATTGGTGATTTTTTGTTCGCTAAAAAACCTACAACTTTTGCAAAAGGACAAATACGTTTTTGTGACGGAACACTCAAAACTGCGACAAAACCATTTCGCCAAACTTATACATTTATAAGTGTTGTGCGAGACCGCAAAATTCCATCACTTTGGACTCTAAAGTCCAAAAAAATTGAGAAAACTTATCAAAATTTTTTTGGAAAAAAATTGACTAAAAATGGCAATCTTTTTGTCGAAAAATTTCGAATCAAGTTATATTATTTCCTAGATTTTGTCTACAGAAAAACTTTGTCGCAAAATTTTCAGCCTAATTTTTCAAATTTGTGAAACTATGTATCTACAAACAGTTTGTTGGCCCTTTTTTGTTGCAGTAACGTCTAAAAAGCCATACCTGTCAGAAAAACTTTTCACCTGACTTCTTTTTTATAGCATTTGTCAATAATGTTTATCATCTAATTTCCTTGGCCCTGATTTTGAGCTAAAGGGGAAAATAATACATTTTAGTTACAAATTGAATTATGAGCATGTATTGCTGCAAAAAGAGAACTTAAGCTAATCTGAAAAAACCAAAGCTGCTATTTAAAATTTTCTAAAGTAGACATTTCAGAATTCAGGTACTTTTTTTTAGTCGCAATCTATTTTTTATGCTCAAACAAACTTTTTTTAAAAATAAAAATCAATGAAGTTTTTAAAATTTTAATTGGAAAGCAAAAACTCAAATCTGCAAAAAACAAGTTTTTATTTTCAAGTTGTTTTTCAAAGTTCATCTGACATTGAAACAAAAAACGGTTCTTCAGCACAGAATACACATTGAAACAATAAACGGTTCTTCAGCCCAGCCACTTTTCCGAAAAAACTCAAATTCAACAAAAACATCTTTTAGGGCCCTAGCAGCAAGAGCAACCAAAAATCAGTCCAAAAATATTGGAAATTTTCAAAAACTTTTTTCTATCCAAACAAATGTTTTGTCTAATAAGCGATAGCAAAGAAAATGATCAAACAAACAAACCTATCATTATCTCAAAATATTTAACAATTTCCCGATACTTTTCATAATTATTGATTTTATTCATTCACCTTTTAACACTTACGAATAAAATTGATGTCCAATTCGAAAATCAAGCAAACGTTTTGTCGAAAAATTGGAACAATTGACAAAAAAAAAGAAAATAATTTCAATTTTTCCTTCAATATATCCCCCCACAAGCTAAGCTTTTATTTAGCGTCTTATATCCTCTTAAAAAGGCTAATTTTCGGGCCTTATTTCGTTTCTGAACGCAGTAATTTGCTGCCTACGCACGTTTAAGAATACATAACATAGCGCGTTATTTGTCCCAAGTTAGCCGAACTAGCAAAATTTAAATATACATAACCTTAATTAGTAAAAACATAAAAAAAAGCTTCGCGAAAAACCGAACTTTAATGAATAAATCAACTACCTCAAGCTCAATAATCCTGCACTTTCTCTAAAAGTCGGAAAATTATCCATTTTCAGGCATTTTCTTCATTATTTCGTTACAACCGTATGAAGCACAGGTGACCTGATTTTTTAAAAAAATTTTGCTTCTTTTCTGACGCAAAATTGGTTTTTAAATCAATTTATTTTCTCTTTTTTTATTACTGCTAAGGAGAAAACTATGATCAGTTGTTTGTCACTGAACCACATGGGGAGAAAAATTCAACACCTTAAAGTTTGCTACACACATTTGCACTACTTTCGAAAAGTTAGGTAGTCAATCCTAAGTTGGCTTACGTTGCTTCGATAAAGTTTTTTCCTTCGATGTTACTACATGTTTACGCTTCATTTTTTTCTGTTTTTCTACGCATGATTTCTTTGTTTTTTAACAAGTCTGTGTGTTGGCAAAAATTGAGTAAACGTGTTATTGTAAGTAAGTGTAAGTGTTGGTGTTTGTAGATGAAGGGGAATTTGTGTGTCTTTAAATAGTACAGGCAGTAAAGAACCTTTAAATAGTTCACGTAGTAAAAAAAGAACAACCAAGTTGGGGAACAATTAACTCGAACCTGTTTAAAATCAACTGCAAAAAAAAATTACGAGCAAAATAAACCCGAATCAAAGTATAACTATTCCACCAACAACAGTGTAAAAATATTAAATTGTGCTCCGCAAAAAAAAATGTTTTGTACGTAACAATAAACCAAGAGCAAATTTCTAAGTTGAACATTTCACATCATAACTTTTCAGTTCAAAAAAAATAGTTCAGTGCAATGTCTTCAATAAAACCAGAAACACAAAACAAAAACTGCAACTCTGGTTTCTCTTCCAAAAATACTCATTAAGAATTAGTACTGAAAAGTTTGATAACATTAAATTTGCTTAATTACAAACCCTCAACTTCCGGCTGCTCTTTTGATGAAACTGCATCAAGTCAACATCTTTCTTTGTAAGAGTTCAAAAAAAACATCAAAAAATTCTTACTCAAAAATTTTACAGGCACTGGGTGCAAACATTTTCTTAAGAACTA